CAACAGTTTTGGTAATCCCGCACCTCCTCCTAACTTCCAAACTACGAATTCTCTGCATTATATTCAGACATGACATCTCCACTGCCTCCAGCCTTCTTCTCGCTGCAACATTCATCACCCATGCTTCACACCCATATAAGAGCGTTGGTAAAACTATACTCTCATACATTCCCCTCTTTGCCTCCAAGGACAAAGTTCTTTGTCTCCACAGACTCCTAAGTGCACCACTCACTCTTTTCCCCTCATCAATTCTATGATTCACCTCATCTTTCAAAGACCCATCCGCTGACACATCCACTCCCAAATATCTGAATACATTCACCTCCTCCATACTCTCTCCCTCCAATCTGATATTCAATCTTTCATCACCTAATCTTTTTGTTATCCTCATAACCTTACTCTTTCCTGTATTCACCTTTAATTTTCTTCTTTTGCACACCCTACCAAATTCATCCACCAATCTCTGCAACTTCTCTTCAGAATCTCCCAAGAGCACAGTGTCATCAGCAAAGAGCAGCTGTGACAACTCCCACTTTGTGTGTGATTCTTTATCTTTTAACTCCACGCCTCTTGCCAAGACTCTCGCATTTACTTCTCTTACAACCCCATCTATAAATATTTTAAACAACCACGGTGACATCACACATCCTTGTCTAAGGCCTACTTTTACTGGGAAATAATCTCCCTCTTTCCTACATACTCTAACTTGAGCCTCACTATCCTAGTAAAAACTCTTCACTGCTTTCAGTAACCTACCTCCTATACCATACACCTGCAACATCTGCCACATTGCCCCCCTATCCACCCTGTCACATGTCTTTTCCAAATCCATAAATGCCACAAAGACCTCTTTAGCCTTATCTAAATACTGTTCACTCATATGTTTCACTGTAAACACCTGGTCCACACACCCCCTACCTTTCCTAAAGCCTCCTTGTTCATCTGCTATCCTATTCTCCGTCTTACTCTTAATTCTTTCAATAATAACTCTACCATACACTTTACCAGGTATACTCAATAGACTTATCCCCCTATAATTTTTGCACTCTCTTCTGTCCCCTTTGCCTTTATACAAAGGAACTATGTATGCTCTCTGCCAATCCCTAGGTACCTTACCCTCATCCATACATTTATTAAATAATTGCACCAACCATTCCAAAACTATATCTCCACCTGCTTTTAACATTTCTATCTTTATCCCATCAATCCCGGCTGCCTTACCCACTTTCATTTTACCTACTGCCTCACGAACTTCCCCCACACTCACAACTGGCACTTTCTCACTCCTACAAGATGTTATTCCTCCTTGCCCTATACACGAAATCACAGCTTCCCTATCTTCATCAACATTTAACAATTCCTCAAAATATTCCCTCCATCTTCCCAATACCTCTAACTCTCCATTTAATAACTCTCCTCTCCTATTTTTAACTGACAAATCCATTTGTTCTCTAGGCTTCCTTAACTTGTTAATCTTACTCCAAAACTTTTTCTTATTTTCAACAAAATTTGTTGATAACATCTATCCCACTCTCTCATTTGCTCTCTTTTTACACTGCTTCACCACTCTCTTAACCTCTCTCTTTTTCTCCATATACTCTTCCCTCCTTGCATCACTTCTACTTTGTAAAAACTTCTCATAAGCTAACTTTTTCTCCATTACTACTCTCTTTACATCCTCATTTCACCAATCACTCCTCTTCTCTCCCGCACCCACTTTCCTGTAACCACAAACTTCTGCTGAACACTCTAACAAGACATTTTTAAACCTACCCCATACCTCTTCGACCCCATTTCCTATGCTCTCATTAGCCCATCTATCCTCCAATAGCTGTTTATATCTTACCCTAACTGCCTCCTCTTTTAGTTTATAAACCTTCACCTCTCTCTTCCCTGATGCTTCTATTCTCCTTGTATCCCATCTACCTTTTACTCTCAGTGTAGCTACAACTAGAAAGTGATCTGATATATCTGTGCCCCTCTATAAACATGTACATCCTGAAGTCTACTCAACAGTCTTTTATCTACCAATACATAATCCAACAAACTACTGTCATTTCTCCTTACATCATATCTTGTATACTTATTTATCCTCTTTTTCTTAACATATGTATTACCTGTAACTAAACCCCTTTCTATACAAAGTTCATTCAAAGGCCTCCCATTATCATTACACCTGACACCCCAAACTTACCTACCACACCCTCGCTAAAAGTTTCTCCTACTTTAGCATTCAGGTCCCCTACCACAATCACTCTCTCACTTGGTTCAAAGGCTCCTATACATTCACTTAATATCTCCCAAAATCTCTCTCTCTCCTCTACATTCCTCTCTTCTCCAGGTGCATACACGCTTATTATGACCCACTTTTCGCATCCAACCTTTACTTTTATCCACATAATTCTTGAATTTACACATTCATATTCTCTTTTCTCCTTCCATAACTGATCCTTCAACAGTACTGCTACCCCTTCCTTTGCTCTAACTCTCTCAGATACCCCAGATTTAATCCCATTTATTTCCCCCCACCGAAACTCCCCTACCCCCTTCAGCTTTGTTTCGCTTAGGGCCAGGACATCCAACTTCTTTTCATTCATAACATCAGCAATCATCTGTTTCTTGTCATCCACACAACATCCACGCACATTCAAGCATCCCAGTTTTATTAAGTTTTTCTTCTTCACTTTTTTAGTAAATGTCTACAGGAGAAGGGGTTACTAGCCCATTGTAGAATGTAAGCCAATAATGTTAAGTTGGCCCATAATGCCTAGGCATAATAGAGGCTCTCTTTGCATTGCAACCCACTATTGTATATACGCAATCTCAATGTACTGTTTGCAAAGACATTAAATAAATAAATAAATAAATAAATAAATAAATAAATAAATCTGTAATAGCCTTTACTGTTTATGTTTTATTTATTTAAAATAAGAAAAACATACAAAATTGAGAACTTTGGGGAGATTATTTTTATTATTTTTTTATCACACTGGCCGATTCCCACCAAGGCAGGGTGGCCCGAAAAAGAAAAACTTTCACCATCATTCACTCCATCACTGTCTTGCCAGAAGGGTGCTTTACACTACAGTTTTTAAACTGCAACATTAACACCCATCCTTCAGAGTGCAGGCACTGTACTTCCCATCTCCAGGACTCAAGTCCGGCCTGCCGGTTTCCCTGAACCCCTTCATAAATGTTACTTTGCTCACACTCCAACAGGGGAGATATGTGATGATATATCATTCAATTCTTTCTATACAATTCATCTTTAGCCTTTACTTACTTGTTCATGTAAAGTCAACTTAAACATCCATAACATTACTTTTTTAGGTAAAATCAACTATAACATCCATAACATTACTTGTTCATATAAAGTCAACTACAACACCCTAAACATTATGTATTTTGGCCCAGATTTCACCAATGTGTTGCCATATTAAAAATAATTATTTTAGTTTTTATCTTTTCTTATAAGGGGGGAAAACTTCTTGAAACTTCTAGTATACACTTTATTCCACTTTCTTAACTTACAATAAAAATAATTGAAATTGGACTATTATTAAAAAATTCCATGTTGAATCTTTCTCCCCTTCATCTTGGTGAAGGTCTCATGAAAAAGAATTCAAGCTACCCTTCCCTTGACGGACTGTGACTGCCTACCACATTCCAGATGCCGTATGACACCTACTGGTTTAGCTCTTACCAGTGAACAGATTTATTCTAAACCTACCCAGAGTAGTGCTGGAAACACATAACTGCGCAATAATTCAAATTTGCATTGAAGAAAGGTAATTTTTACATGATTAACAGATTAACAAGTTTCACCATATGTAATTTAAGTTCACAAGGTAGAAGGTAGTAACATGTTTATGCGATGAATTCAAACGGTATACTGCCTACAAGAGTAAAGTTACATGGTGCAGAACAAGCTATATTGCAGAAAATGAACTGCTGTGTGTAAAGCTCTACACAAAGCGAAAAGTACTTTCAACAATACTGGAATGTTTCTTCACAATCCGTGTTCTACCTGTCAAAGGCTTTATTACAGTAACGTGAAAAACAGTATTCATGGACCAGTCTAAAGTTACAGATAATAGATGAAAACTTGTCTTGTAGAATGAACCCACAAGGTATTATTACTTATCCTCACCCACCTCTTACTGCTACTGTTACTTCTCCTCACCCATCTCTTACTGCTACTAATTACTTCTCCTCACCCACCTCTCACTGCTACTAATTAGTAACATCAACCTGTCATCAGTGTGGGCAACATCACATAAATTTCTAATAAAATTTAAACCATGTATCAATTTTGGCATGGGAACAGGGACAAAAGCCTCAAGCCCAAACGGCACCATGATAACTTCACTGAACAACTCAAGTCCTATGCATTCCATTATAATCTTTATTTCTACAGATACAAGATATAACTGATAATGACCTAGTTAACATCATTAACTTACTATGTAGACAGCCCCTGGTTATGAAGAGCATTTCGGGCAATTTTGGTTAATTTAGTCCCCCAGGATACGACCCACAACAGTTGGCTAACACCTAGGCATCTACTCACTGCTAGGTGAACAGTGACAGCAGGTATAAGGAAACATGACCAACGTTTCACCCCATGCGTGGGATCAATTGTGGACCCTCACTGTGTAAGCTGAGGACTCTGCCAACCAAGCCACAAGCCTTGTATAACTCAAGCCCTGTAATAATGTTGGTAGAATTACCGACAATATTTAAAGTAAAAGGACACAAGTGCAACTAATGTGACATTTTATTGTGGCAATGTTTCGCTCTCCAGGAGCTTCGTCAAGCCAATGATCGGCTTGACAAAGCTCCTGGAGAGCGAAATGTTGCCACAATAAAATGTCACATTAGTTGCACTTGTGTCCTTTTACTTTACAACTCAAGCCCTAACTGCACTATTAGAACTTTCCTCTGCATAACTCAAGCCATGAGAACTTTACCGTGTTTTCATAAAAAGTTATCAATCTTACCAATTTTAGTGTAGTTATCGCTGATATCAAGGGCATGGACTTCACCATCAGAAGGGAGTGCCAAGGCGGCGGAGAGAGCACTGGCACCAGTGAACACCCCTACGTCCAGTACCTACAACACACAAAATTAACACTCCCATATCCCGTACATGCAACAAATACTGTAAACTATCCACTTATGGAATGGAAATGAACATTCCAGTTTTCCATAGTAGTTAGAAAATTGTCAGCAATAAATGTTTACAGCTTAAAACTGTAATAAATATTTCATTCTGTAAGATCCCCGAGTCTTTAAATCTTAAAGCTGTTCAGAAGAGGCATTCTTGAAAATTATCCCATAATTATAAACGGTAAATAAAAATTGCCAAACTATCACTTACACACAATAACAATAAAAATCTCTAATTCACATGTGATCACTGTTAAACATCTTCGGTCAAGGCTGAGGGAATGACCACCTCAAAATTACCTCTTCATTTCTATTAAGAACTAGAGACCCAAAACCCCAAATTCTCCACTTCTTCAACTGTCTCCATTACATTATTCACCTTGTACTCACCGTGTTGTTTGTTGGGGTCGATACTTAACTCCTGGCAAAGCCTCCAAGACTTCACTGATCGGCATCACTGACTTCTGATCTTTTGAGCCTTATCATATTTATTCTTGAAAATGTGAATTGATTTTAACTCCATCACTGCCTCTTCCAAGACATTCCACTTTTCAACCACCATGGGACTAATAAATAACTATTACATCCCAATAGCTCATTTGCATTTCAGCTCCCAATTATTGCCTTGATTCCAGTCCACTGAATTTTAATGATCTCTCCCTCTCAGCTCTATCAGTTCTCTTCAAGATTTTATATTTTGCAATCATGTCATTCCCTGACCTTCTAAGTTCATTAGATTTAATTCCTTCAACCTGTCCTCATTGTATATTCTCATATGTATGGAGACCCTAGACTTGCAAAAGGCATTAGATACAGTTAACCATAATCAATAATACAGAATCAGAATGCCTGCCGATAGCATATGTGGTTATTTACTATTATGTCATCTGAATGACATGCCCATTAGTGTCAGATGTAATCTTCTGTTATATGAAGATGATAGTTCTCTGTTAGTGTCAGGTAAGGACTCACAAGATACAGTGGAACCTCGGTATGCAACTTTAATTCATTCAAGAAGGCTCTTCGAATGCCGCTCATTTAAGTACTGAACAAGTTCTTCCCAACCAATTTTCTGTTTGGTTGGCTGTTATCACTAATCTTAGTAGGCCCCATGGCGACTTATTTATACAAATAATACAAAAAACATAAAAAAATACGAAGAAACACGAAATAGTTTACAGCGAATTTCTGGCAGGTCGTATTTGTTTGGTCGAGTGCTGAGCTTTGTTCGAGTAGAGAGCTCGTCATATCCCGAGGTTCCACTGTATAGCTAATGTACTATCAATAGAAGTAGAGTCCTGCAGTAAATGGTTAGTACACAAGAAGCTATCGCTACACCTCGAGAGAACAGAAGCCATACTCTTTGGCATGAAAAGTAAACCGAAAAGAGAAAATACTTTTAATGTCCAGTGTAATGGGGAACCATCACTTCAGTATCTTCAGTGAAATATCTGGGAATTCCCTTTGACTTAAGTATGTCAGCTGAATTGATAGGCAGTGATTGACAGGCAGTGTCTACTTTCTGAGGCTTGCACGATGCTACGTCTAGCTCTTATACAATGTCATGAAGATTATTCTTTATGGTACACCACTTTAAGAAAGAAATGGAAGACAGATTGCAAATCACCAAGAACAAAATGGTGAGGTTCATCCTGGGTCTGGGTCCAAGAAGGCATAAAGACTAAGATAAATTACAATAATTACAATAATAATAATAAGTAATAATAAAAATTATAATAATAATGACCCTTATTTCTACAAGTACATGATACAACCTATATAGACCTAGCTGACATCAATGACATATTGTTTAGATGCCCATGGTCATGCTGAGTATTTTGAGAAACTTGGATTAATTTTGACTCCCAGAATATCTTGCTGCCGAGTTTGTCAAGGTTAGGAACCAAAACCAGTATGGTATTAGGGAAAGTTAACATAATTTTGTAGTACCTACAGAAGGTGGTGAGGCCTCAATTATTTTTTATTAAACAATAAAAGAGCAGGATGGATTGCATGAACATGTCAAAGCCTCACCTAGCACAGTTCATGAAGAGAGCTGAAAAGGTACCTACTGAATGAAGCTACAGAAAGGGATGAGAGTGATTTCTTGTATATTTAACATTTGTGTACCTGTTATTGTAAGCTGATCCTCTCTTAAATGTCCACATAAATAACTCAGTGTGGGGAGGAAGTTTTAATATCAGCAAGAAGGTTCTGCTATAATACTGGGGATGATCCTAAGACCTTAGGTAATTGCTGCTAGTAAATTTTTCTTTTCTTTGGTGCCAACAATTTCAGATACCACTGTAATGTGTTTATTAAATTGCAAGTGGTTTTATCTGGGCATGTTTTACTTCCCCCTTTGAGCCATGTACATAAGGTCCATTGGTCCGAGGTGAAATTACATAAAATACATTGACATTTTTTTTTTGGAGAGTCAAGCAGCCCCTGATAGGGTGCCTACTGCTCAATTTTCAGGCCAAACTACCCTAAGAGCCAGTACTTATCAGGGCCCCTATCTTGTTATAACTATCCTGTATTATTTCTCACTGGGTTTTCTCCTGCTCTAACCCAAACTCCGTGTTTTCCTCCCTTCTCCTATCACTATGGCTACTTTTATCTCTTCCACTATCAAAAGAGCAGATGGTGGCAGCATACAGAGCGCTACCCTCTATTCTCTTATATTCTAGTAATTTCCCCTTGTTATTTGTTTTCTATATTCTCATACTTTTGTCCATTCTGAGTCAACCTGAGGGAACAGGCAATATGGCATGATCTGGTGCTTTGTCGACCCCAGGGTGGGACTGGGGTGGAAGCTGCATTTCAACAGGCAGACAGAAAGACAGACACACAGGCAGTGAGACAGACAGACAGATAGACAGACAGATAGACACACATACATGTTTGTGTATAACAGTGAAAACAAATAAAGCCAGGGTTCCCTGGAGCAGTGCACACTGTCAACAGTTTAATAACATTTGTCTTAAAAGATGCTTCAAGAAGTTTCATATACAGTAGTCCCTCGATAATTGTAGGGCTCGAAAGTCGTAATTTTCGGAAATCGTAGCGATATTTTCATCATAACATGGGCTCGATAATCGTAGATTGACTCGTGTATAGTAATTCGTCCGGGACGCGTACTCACACTCTAAGCCAGGGCGGCCTCCCTTCCCAGCCAGTGTGGCATTGTTTACCAGTGAGTGACGGTCCCCTCACTTGCTCATACAAAATATTTCATAATATTCCATTCATTTTAGTGCTTGCAAGTACTAAATAAGCTACCATGGCTCCAAAGAAAGCTCCTAGTGCCAAGCCTTTGATAAAGAAGGTGAAAAATACGATTGAATTTAAGAAAAATATCATTGAACAATATGAAAGTGGTGTACGTGTGGCCGAACTGGCTAGGATGTATAACAAACCATATACAGTGGACCCCCGCATACCGTTGGCCTTGCATAACGTTAAATCCGCATACCGCTACATTTTATCGCCAAGATTTTGCCTCGCATACTGCTAAAAAACCCGCTCAACGCTGTTCGTCCGAGACGCATCTAATGTGCGCCCTTAGCCAGCCTCACATGTTCCGCCGGTGGCATTGTTTACCAGCCAGCCTCCGCAGTAACATCCAAGCATACAATCGGAACATTTCGTATTATTACAGTGTTTTTGGTGATTTTATCTGCAAAATAAGTGACCATGGGCCCCAAGAAAGCTTCTAGTGCCAACCCTACAGCAATAAGGGTGAGAATTACTATAGAGATGAAGAAAAAGATCATTGATAAGTATGAAAGTGGAGTGCGTGTCTCCGAGCTGGCCAGGTTGTATAATAAACCCCAATCAACCATCGCTACTATTGGTGTTACAGCTGCTGCTGCTGCTGTACCACCGTCAGCTGCTGCTGCTGCTGTAGTACCGTCTGCTGCTGCTGTAGCATCGTCTGCTGCTGCTGTAGCACTGTCAGCTGCTGCTGCTGTTGTACCACCGTCAGCTGCTGCTGCTGCTGCTGCTGTTGTAGTACCATCTGCTGCTGCTGTAGCATTGTCTGCTGCTGCTGCAGTATCGTCTGCTGCTGCTGTAGCACTGTCAGCTGCTGCTGCTGCTGTACCACCATCAGCTGCTGCTGCTGCTGTAGTACCGTCTGCTGCTGCTGTAGCATCGTCTGCTGCTGCTGTAGCATCGTCTGATGCTGCTGTAGCACTGTCAGCTGCTGCTGCTGCTGTACCACCGTCAGCTGCTGCTGCTGCTGTAGCATCGTCTGCTGCTGCTGTAGCACTGTCAGCTGCTGCTGCTGCTGTAGCATTGTCAGCTGCTGCTGCTGCTGCTGTAGCACCGTTGTTGGTGTGGCTTATTGAGAATACCGAGAAACAATTAACCCCAGGGGATTTGCCACCCAGGATAACCCAAAAAAGTCAGTGTCATCGAAGACTGTCTAACTTATTTCCATTGGGGTCCTTAATCTTCTCTCCCAGGATGCAACCCACACCAGTCGACTAACACCCAGGTGAACAGGGAAAAATGCCTGGAACTAGTGCTCATATTGGTGAATTTAAAGCCAGCAAAGGTTGGTTTGAGAGATTTAAGAATCGTAGTGGCATACACAGTGTGATAAAGCCTGTTCTGGAAGAAAATGCCAAACAGGACCTACAGTACTCAGGAGGAAAAGGCACTCCCAGGACACAGTGTCTCATCAGTCATTGCTGCATCTTCAATAAAGGTAAGTGTCATTTATTCTTCATTTAGTAGAGTAGTACATGCACAATATATATTGTGCATGTACTACTCTACTATTGTGCATGTATCCTTCTCTTTGTGTGTAGGAAAATGTATATTTCATGTGGTAAAAAAAATTTTTCATACTTTTGGGTGTCTTGCACGGATTAATTTGATTTCCATTATTTCTTATGGGGAAAATTCATTCGCATAACGATAATTTCGCATAACAA